AATACAATGTTCTCCTTAAACCTCTAATCCTTCCATCTCCTCCCTCACTGGTACCACTCAGTCAGAAAGAGAAATGAGAGCTCTTTGGTGTAATGACTCCAAAGGTCCCAGTCTCCTGACCCCTTCTTCTTCCCTCCCCTTGACCTGGAAGAGAAGCTCCCTACCCACTGGAAGCAGAAGTGAATGCTCCCTTCACTTATGTGCCCTGGGCACAATTCCCTTGCACCTCCTCCAGGACCCTGGTCTCCTGGGATGTCCCCCAACATCTCCTTTTCTCTGGCTACTTACCATTAACACTCAGACATACTCCATTCCATTGTTCATTCTCTCATCCTAAACACAAACCAACCCACAAAACCCTTCCCTTGACACAAAGTCTCCCTTCTTCCTCTAGCTGTAACCTTAGTTCTGTCTTCTCATCAAACTTGGTTTCAAAGTTGTGGGTCATCCCTGTCTATACCCACTGGCCCCATCATCCAAATCTGCTGTGGCAAAGGTAACCGATGGCATGGTTACCACTTCCCATGAAGTGATTCTGTTCTTGTCCTACCTGACCATTATCTGACTTCCTGACCTGTCCCTCCTCCTTGAAACATCACTGCTTCCAGTGGCTTCCAGAACACCACTTCCTCTTGCTTTCCACCTACCCTCTGCTTACCCTTGTCAGTCTCTCCACACTATTTACCCTAGAGCTTCCCTTTTGCTTTGACAAGTCTGCTAGAAAATAAAATATACTTACAGCCTCCCTTAGAGCTTCCTCTTCCTCTGCACGTGTCTGAAATTCTGCTGTTCCCCAGGGCTCCTCCCTCTACTGCTCATCTGTAGTCACAGCTGCAGTGTGCTGTGTGTGATGTAGGGACATTCCACAGGTATCTCACACTCCATATGTCTCAACCTGAAGGCAATATCTTTCTCGCCCAAACTCACTGTTCTCCTGGGTCTCCTACATCACAGCACAATCCTAAACCAGGAATCTGCGTGTCATTCCAACCCCTCTCCCCTCCCACCCTGTCATCCAAACAATCATTTAAGTTGTGTCAAGTCTACTTCCATTGCTCCTGCCCTACTGTCATAAGTGGCCCATGCCACCAGCATCTCTCTCCTGACACTACAACGATCTCCTAAGTGTTCGGCTTGCCTCTGGTCAGGATGTGTCAATAGCTCCCTTCTGCTCACAAGATATACTCCAAATTCTTTAACATGACTTCTAGGCCACCCAAGACTGGCCGCCGCCTGTCTCTCCATCTCCTGCCACTTTCTCCAGGCACTCAGTGCTTTAACCAGACAGAATTCCTTGCCATTCTTGTTGATGCTAAACTTCCTCCCCTTCCTGGCCTTTGCACACACTGTTCTCTGCTGGGAACACTCTTCCCCTTAAGACCCTGCTCCTCTTCAGGCTAAATCTGCTCAACCGTCAGTACTCAGGCCATGGGTCAGTTCTGGAAAAACTGTGATGGTGCCCAATCCCTGCACACTGGGTTGGATACACCTGTTCATGGTATCATATACTTCTCATCAAATCAATCATCACACATTATCATCATTGTTCATTCCATTTTAAGTCTTCCCTACTGGATGCTAGGTTCCCAGAGGGCAGAGCTTTCACATCCTGCCAACCACAGCAACCTAGAGTCCAGCAGAAGGCCTGACATAGAGAAGCTTGGTAAAAAATTATTTTATCTCCATTTCACAAAGGTAGAAATCACAGCAGTCAGAGAAGCTACATACAGGGCAGAAGAGGAACTCTTCCAATGATGTTTAATTTCAAGCCTGGTGCTCTCTCTAAGCTCCTGTTTTTCCAAAGCTATAGACTTCCCTTTGGAAAACACAAGAAAATTTACTTTTTATTTACGTTTTAACTCACTGATCCCTACATCGCATAACCTTGACCATTACTGGATCAAATCCTACAATCTTTTCAGGTGATTCTTGGGAAGACCCCTCAACTTACTTTCCTCTGTAAGAGACTCACTCTCCCTATCTCAATAATCTTTGGCATAAGTCACTTTCAAGCCATCTAAAAATCTCAGCAAAATACAAAATCACAGGCATCATCGATGCAAATGACTGCAAAGGAGATTGAAGCCCACTCCACCAAGCAGAATTCCAAATGCACATCAAAAATGCTACATATTCTGGCCAGTGTGGTGGCTCACTCTTGTAATCCCAGCACTCTGGGAAGCCAAGGCGGCTGGATCACCTGAGGCCAGGAGTTCAAGATGAGCCTGGTCAACATGGCGAAACCTAGTCTCTACTAAAAATACGAAAATTAGCTGGGCGTGGTGGCAGGTACCTGTAATCCCAGGTATTACTTGGGAGGCTGAGGCAGGAGAATCACTTGAACCCAGGAGGCAGAAGTTGTAGTGAGCTGAGACCTAGCACTGCACTCCATCCTGGGCAACAGAGTGAGACTCCATCTCAAACAAACAAACAAAATGCTACACATTTTGATCATGACAAAGCCAAGAAAAGTGGAGAAATTAGAATGTGGATCACATAAGAAAAGAAAAAGTCCTAGCACTGTTCATGAAGAAACTAGCTATATCAGAAAACAAATTCTTCAATAATTTAAAATCCAAAACTTAAGAGGCAATGCACACATAAGCAACAAATCCAGAATGATCAACATGATCTGGTACTAAACATGTGTAGGCTCAGCTTGCTATATATGTATATTAATTATATGGGTACATTAATTATATATTAATGCCTATTTCAGTGTGTGTTACTCTTTCTTACAATAAAGTTTGTCAGCGCCAGTTTTTTTGTGGTCCCCAACTCAAGGATCAGTGAAGGAGATAATGAAAACACTTCTGTTTCCATTTTATTCTTCCATCGGTTTGAGGAGAATTAAATATGTATAGAAAGTGAATAGGAGCATATCTTTGTTATCAAGCATTATTGCTATGGGATTTATTTTAAAGCAAAGTTGACTGAAGTAATTATTTACATGGAAAGTAAATAGTATCGCAATGCAACTTGGCATTTTCTTATGTAAACTGCACTTATGCAAATGCACTACCATATTACCCACTGATCAAGGCAGGAGTCCACAGTTCAAAGCCTATGCGCTGACGTTTCATCCCCTCAACATCCTTTCCAGCCTCTAAGTTTGATAAGTTTGATATGTCTTTGGCTCTTTAAGAATCAGAACTAAACTGTCAATTCAAGCTTACCCTTCTCACCTCCAGCCCACAGTGTCCCTGCTCTCCCCACCCCATTACACAGCACTTTTCCTGAAGAATAAGTAAGCTCTAGTGACACACTTTCCTTTCTGCATTCTTTTCTTGCCAGGACTTGAACTATGCCCTCACCAAGTGCCCAGGTACTCACATTCTCTCAGACTAAGCCCACCTTACTTCCTGGGATGCTAATAACAAACATCTAACTGGGCTTTGATCTCCTTTGACCTGCTGTGTCCAGGACCAAGCCTTCATACTCATGACCAGATCTCTCTGTTCACACTAGACACACACAGAACTCCTACGTACAGGCAACTGCCTGGGAAAAGTGTTCTCTCCTTTCCTGTTTTGCGCACACATCAGTGGCACAGTCAGAGTGGTTAACCAGAACACATGTTTAATTTGAAGCACTCTGTCCTCCTAACCTGCCTTCTTTGTATCCTTCTTTAAAAAAACCAATTGACATGGTCAAGCAGGTTATCTGAATTGCCTATGGTACCTGCAAAGTAGTAGATAATATTAAACCCCTTATTCCCATCTACCTTAGGTATCGTTATCTACTCTTCACAAAGCTTTCCCTTGAACTTCCTTAAGTCCAGGCATTACGGCCTTTACTTAAGATTCTACAGCAATACTACCAGGGCCCAAGATGCCCACACAACACTGAGATTAACCACATTTCCTGTTAGGGAGTTGGGTTTATGTGGCCCACCAGCTGAGTATCTTTGCCATCATTTTCTCTCTGGGCTCTTCTAAGTCTTGATTTTTAAGCTGAGGTGCTCATATTCCTGTGCACCTTCCGCAACCCTGAGGGTTACCGGTGCTATCTAGTTCTCTATCAAGTCGGGACCCTCTACTCTGACAGCCGCCCAAACTAGAAACCTAAACAGAACAGATTCGCAGCCAGAAGCAGAGCTCTGGTGTGAAGTACAATTTTCTGTTAATTACCCAGCTCCCACTCCACATTTCCGAACTTCCAGGTTCCTTTCCTGAGGCCCCCTGTGCAGAGGATTCCCCTTTAGTTCACTTGTGCTCGATTCTCCTCTCCCAAATGCAGGTTCACTCACACTTACTGGAAGTCACAGTTGTACCTGCTTCATCTTATCTGGCTTAATAAACCAAACTGGTGACAGCACAGACCTCTGAAGCACATCTTGTGATCCGATTATCTCCCATGTCCTTAGCACCTTATTGCCTCCAGTATACCTGAGTTTAGGAAATCATCTCAGGTGGACTGACACGTGCTTCCTTCACTTTTCCCCTTAAAATGCTCCTGTGAATGGTAACGCTTCTCAAATTTGCAGCAGCGCTGGAATTTTTTGTGGAATTGAGAAAGGCAGGGCCTGACTTCCCACTCTCTGAAGAGTTCACCGATCTCCCTTGGGAGTTTCTCAAGACTCAAAACAGGAAAAGAAAGAGAGAAAGGAAGGTAGAAAGCAATGTAGGTATTAACCATTTTTCTGGTACTCTTCAAACCCAGAACTATTACAGAGGGCATTAGGAATTCCCCTTGGCTACCAGGAGAAGCAGCGCGAGTCCGATTCCTGACAGGCAAGCACCAGAGACGATGTGGAGTTTTGGTCGTTAGTTTAGAGATAACAACTGGATGCGTGGGCTTGTCTTACCAACCACTGGGGACACCAGGAAGGAAGAAATAATGGGCTAATACAGAAAGAACATAGAAGAGGGTCCCAGATACCCAAAGCCTCCTGGCCACTCCGTCGTCACCTGGAATGGGCTGCAAAGCCTTGGCACAGGCAGCTGGGTCGTGTCCCCTCCCGCCGCGCGCCCCAGGCCGCCCGGACGGCACCTCCTTACCTTGCGGGAGTACGGGGGCTTGCTCAGGTGGATGCCGTCACGGACGAGCTTATCCCTGATCATGATCTTCAGCTTCAGTTTGGGGTAGCTCACCAGCTCCCTGCTGCGGGGGGCGATCGTGTGGCCGCGAGAGTCC